CTGCTCTTTAGGACAGCAACAGCCATCACCACCAAAATACCCCAGTACAACAGACCTGCCACAATGCTGACGGACTGGAGATGTTCTGGCTGAAGTCAACTAGGCGCGCTTAGCTAAAGCGGCACACTGGCTCCATGACCAAACCCTAAGCGCTCCATCCACCACGCGTCTCCCCGAGGAGCTATAAAAGGCATTTCACTCCCACTGCCACTCCCAGCTCCCCAGAGCAGAATGACTTCAAAGCCAAATAAGCATTTGCCTGTACAAACTGGTGCCAAATCTGAGCCAACAAGCAGGATTTAGACACGGGTTGCACCAAGACTAGCCACTAAGCCTAATCTTTACCAGGTATACTAACAGTAGGAATGGGATTTAAGCCCAACTTTTACATGGAAGAGCTCCTTCCCCTCCCCTTAAGATTTTGCTTCTCTTTCTCCTCTAACCAGAACAGTTAAAAACCCCAATCTATCAGGTCAGGCAATTTGTATTCCCAAATTAAACAACCAAAACCAAGCCTAACTTCAAACCGCTTATGAATGTCTTCTTTATGGGCTTAATGCAGTAAGCTCAAGTCAAAATTTAATGCTGATGGACTCACAGGACTTTATGTGAGCTAAATACACAGAACTTCTCTTTATATTGTAAAGGCAGAAAAGCCAAAGTAAATTTATTCTTTGCAAGTACAGACTATTCATTTATTGACATCTTTGCAGTGTTAATATTTAGAATAACTTCTGGTATTTAAATACGTATGGATAAAACAAAGGAAAAATGTCTTAGTGGAGAAGTTGAAAACCTACCTATAAACTTTCTATACGCTTAAATAGGAATTTGATTTCAAATTTGTCCTGTGTTTCTTGAGACCCTATTCGCTTTATAAAGAATGATGAAACTGTTAGCAGGTCCAGTGGAAGCAGAACTGAGATATCTATAGGCTTACAGAACTGAAGCTCTATTAGTGGGTGGTTTAAACAGCACCCACCTCTTGGGGGGGGGGGCTAAAGATCATTCATTTGTGCATGTTTAAGTATCATTGAAATATTCTAAAAATATCTTTGACTATTTCTAGCCATATATAAGGAACATATGATCCTCGAAATGCAGTTGATCTCTCCATTGACCTAAATTAACAAACACTTGGAACAGAATTAGTTTCTATTGGATATTTTCTGCATATTTGATTTTCATCAATGTTTCTCCATGCAGAAAGTAATGGAGTTTCAAGAAGACCCCAGTTAAATTTTACAGAGATCATTTTTTCAATGCTACAATTACAGTCCACACTTTCAAAAGGAAATATTTTCTCATCTGCAATTTTCAGTACTTCAATTTGTTTCTGATTTTTGGTACCTTAACTGCAGCTCTTTTTGAGGACTTGATCCTTTAGCTATGTAGCTCATTGTGGACTTATATGATAAGGCTAGAAGTTCAGGTTCTAACATTTGCATGCATGACAGTTTTGTTGGTGTGAAGTTATACATCAAGGTTTTTCCTTGTAAATGAAGAGGGTAGATCTTACTTGTTTAGCAAGTGCATTCCATAGTACAATTTCTGAATGGTATCCTAGATTCAATATTTCACACTCTGTTTTCTTCTCCTCAATGTAAAAGAAACAGAGGATGGTTTACACCTGATCTTTTCTGATTCTACCTTATTTCTCTTCACTGTCAAGCTCTGAAATTCAGTATCTTCTCTGTCCCCCTGTTTGCTTTACGCTGTCTTAATAACTCAGTAGATATAATGCACATCCATGTGTGTACGTCTATGTGGTGGTGGTGGGATTGAAGATGGTGAGGGATGAATCAAATTTAACAACTGAGCTGAGAATCATCAACAAAAACAGTTTTCTTCAATGCAAAACTTCAAATGAGGGAAGCAAATGCTTTTGTAAGCCAAGAAAAAAAGCTTATAATAGTATATTAATATCCAAAAGTTAATAGAGAAAAATGCTCATTGAAATACATGCAAGGAAACAGAGCGTTATGAGAAGTAAATGAGAAAAATACAATAGTTTAAAGCACAGAGCTACATACAAGAACACAGAACTATTTTATTGCCTTGTCAAAAAAAAAAAAAAAAGATGCCCATACTAAAGTCAAAATATGACTGAAGACCAAAGGAGCAAAACTGCTAGGCTACTTTTGGGTATTTCCTAAGGAGCTCTTGAATGCTATGTAAAAAACACTGTGCTTACTGTTAAACGGATTTCAGAAAACAGTCTGAGGCAGGAATTGACTTTTACAACATCATAGAAAATGCGACTATAAAAATATTGATTCAAGGCACATATATACACGTACATACAACTGTGTATATTCTAGTTTCCTTTCACGGAACAAGGAGACACCTAGTATCTCCTCCCTCCCTAACAATTCCGCGTTTCTCCGAGCGCTCTCCAGGCAGGTCAGTTTAATACAAAAACCTCAAAACTCTACCTTGGTGTCATGGCGTATTGCCGAGACCGGGGTGACTTCCTCTGCTCTTTTCTTTTTGCCCTCTTCATCATCTTTCTCTTCTTCTGCCTTTTTCTCTGGAGTCACAGTGGTTATCAAGTTGGTCTGAGAGATGCCCTTTGTTGTGGCGTACTGGCCAGTACCAACCTCTGCAGCAGACACAGAATCCTTCATGTACATTTCATGGTTTTCATTCACTGATGCTAAAAGCAAATATTTAAAGAGGGAAAGTCTGAAATAGCTTTTGCTGAGAAGCTGCATAAAATTAAAAAGCTGGGTTAGTAAAACATTTGAGAAATTGCTGAAAACACAACTATGTCATGTTTCAGGAAACCAGAAGCATGTGCATACATTTAAATAAACTGTTTACTTGGAATAAAGCTTGCAGCTTTTATATGCATAAACATGTATTATGGATGTGTATACACACATTACTGTAGCTAATGTGTGCATTACACAGTTGTTAAATGTTAGCAAGCCATTAGAAGTGCTACTGTAGTAAAACATCAGAAAAAAATCAATGCGTTGCCACTGTTATCAGGCAGGAAACATAAGGAGAATCAGCTATGACATCAGCCATGGGGGTTGAAGAGATTTTTTTGGAAATCTGTCAGAATATAACAATGCAGATCAAATGCACAATAAGTAATGTGCTGTGTTACAGGAAATGACAATATTGATGTAACACAGGCATAATATCTGAGAATCAAAAAACAGGATCTTTGTATTTTCAAGTTAAAGTCTGCCGGTTAAGTGAGCTCATTATCCTAAAAAATTCTGGGAAGTGATGGCATTCAATTCAGTGGACCAAACCAGAATATTTTAGGATGTAAACGTTCGATAATTCAACAAACTTAAATATATATAAATGATTTTGCAATAAATAGTAAATTTACAGATAGAATGTAATCAAAACATTAATAATATACCCAGACCCTGCTCTTGACTATTGTGTAACTAATTTCTAAGTCAATAGGACTATTCAAATTTATAAAGTTACTTGCATCTGTAACAAATGACAGGGCTGGGATCACAGTGTAATCGCGATGCAGAACGTTACAGCCACATTTGCATTATAGTAACAATATTAGTGAAGAAATCATAAACATTGATTAAAAAAACCTCTTTTTCCCATTTGCACTTACGCAAATTAACATCATAAAAACCTTGTGGAGTCTAACAAATGCTGGGAAAAAGTGTTTCAGATATCTTGTCTCTTGGGAATGAGCTTAGGAGGCAGGCGAAAGCAAAGGGAGTAGAGAGAGACATCTTGTTTAGATGTTACAAACAAAATAATGCAGAAGGATAATTTCTGCTTTGAGACACATGCACAGCAATCAGGTCACCAGTTGCTTGGTAACGAGCAAGAAGCACATCAGAATTAGAAGATTCCAAAATAATTAATGACAAGCAGCACCTTTAGGGGGAGAAAAGAAGGCTTGTCACTAGTACTTTTAAATCAAAGCTTCTCCCCCTCCCCACCATCAGCTGTATTCATTGCAATTCGTTTGTGATATTCCATGGGAGAACTCACCTTTTTTTTTTTTTTAAAACTCTAGCAATTCTGAATTCAGTCTCAGTCTTTTTTTCTACAAAAATAAACTACAACCTCTTTTTACTCAATAGCTGACAACAGTAACAGCTGATGAAGTAGCTGAGACTCTGAATCACGTGCTGGTTTAACCTAAGGGAGCAGCAGAACCGTGACCTCCATGAACCATGGAGAAAGAGAGGAGGAGGAGCAAGGACATACTATAAACCTGCGTATGCTAGTCTCCATCTCAGACCTTCAAAAGTAATGTATGGAACAAGCCTGTCGGCGCTTATCTGACTAGGATGCGAGGTAATCGGAAGCAAGTGTTATTAGTCAATCAAGGGAAATAGTTCATTTATGAACTGTAACATATACTTAAATGAAACAGCTACATAGGAAAAAAAGCCAAGTTAAACCAAAACCCGAACAGTTACTCATGCAAACCCCGAAAAAGCATTGAAGCCTGACTTGCTCGGGCAGGCAGGTCCAGGCTGGCAGGTCCAAGCGCCCCATCCTTCCCCAAAGCAGGGAAGTGCTTTGCAGGTGTGAGGCCAAGGAGAGAGGCTCCACGAAGAGTGGGCTCCCAAGGACCTCCTCCAGGCAAACACTTTGTAAGGGCCGCAGCAGTACACTGAGCACAATATTTCTCTGCATCCTCCCCTACCCCTGCAGTGAACGCGCAGGTACTCACAGCCTCCACTCAGCAAAAGCTCAAGGAGATGAGGTGACAAGTTTATACCTAATCTAAAGCAGTGACCACCATGACAATACCTTTTGACAAAGTCAATTGAGAAGACCTTACCCCCATCTAAGCTGCGAGACATAGTGTAACGTTTACTAGAAGACCGCTCAAAGTAAGGTGCGGGACGATCTATGAGGGCGCTGGCTCTTCTTGTCTGGGCCTGTGTCCGGCCGCTGTAGCGAAACTTGGAGCCCAGCGTGAGGAACTTCTTTGGAGGTGCTTCTGGCAGCAGGAGCCTAAAACACACCAAGCAGTGCAGCCGTTAGTCCCCCCGCTCCAAAAATCAGTCCACTCTATTTCTGCAGAGGAGAGAAGACAACTGTTGGGTGTCAATAAATAGTAAATTACATAATATATTATATGTCAATTATATTATATGTCAATAAATAGCACTGTCGTAACCTGCGCCTCATGGGTCTGTGGCTAAAAGGGAATCAAAGGATGCCCCTCATATGACATGACAAAACCGCTCAGCTAATGCATTTGAAGAGCCCAGTTCTTCCTAATGGGCAAGAATCACTCAGTCCCTTCCTCCTTGAAAATCAGATTTATTATTTTCTAATCACCAAAACTAAAAATAAGGTGTTCCTTGTATCAGGGACCCTGATCTGGGCTGAAATACAGATATATCTCATATACTTCAAATTTAACATGATGCTGCTATGCTGAGGACAGGGCCAGAACAGGTTTCCAGTGAATGCCAGGCAGTATTCATTCACAGCGTCGCAGACATTTTTCAGGTTAGAGCCTTCCCACCCTCTGTATTTTGGCTATGGGAGTTTGCCGAAGAAGCCATTCTCCTGCTATGGAGTTTATGCTTTAGACATTGATTTTCCATTAAAAATCAGAAAACACCCCAAAAATGCACGTTCAATTTCTTTTTAGATCTTTTGCTGCTAAGACTGCATTTCATATGAACGTACAGACAGCCTGAACCAATAGTTTTAAGAAAGGAGAGAAATTCTTCAGTCCTCCCAAACGCCTTGAGAGGGTTTTTTTAAGCACTGGATGCCCTTTCACGCCATTGAAAATCTCACCCTTTTGGGTTTCCATTGTTATGTATCTCCTTGCTAACTATCTCAGCACAAACTAATTACAGCATTTATTCCACTATCCCAAACTTTTCTCAGGTCTTCTTAGATGTCAAAAACATAGCTGCAAAATTCCTCAGTAATACAAAAATTACAGCTATGGATTGGGTATTCTGGGTGACCAAAAAATACACCACTGACTACTGTCTGTATTTTCATACGTAATTAAATACAAATCTCCTTTTTTTTTTTTTTAAACCTTTACCCACATCCCCCAGTAACTTTCCATATACGTTGTTCTCCCTATACAAGCGTATGTGAAGAAGTGCAGCAGAGTCCTTCGTCTCTTTAATTAGAGTGGCCGATAATAACATGGCACAGATAAAGCAAAACGATTAATTGGGACCATATGGTGATTTTAAACATTCAGTATCTATCTGAAATAGTACGAGTAATTTGGGTGAAACATTTCACATTTTGAAGAAGCAATAACCTTCCCTTGTCTGCTCGGAGATACCTTGTGATCAAAAAGACAATTTGATTTGAAGGGTTTTGCCTCTGCTGACAGAATCGTTCTTTTCTGTTGCATTTTATGGCACACCTTTAGGAAAAGAAATCCACATACCTGAAAAATGTATGGTGCTCAACACAGACTTTCCATAAGCGCTTTGCAGCACGATGATTTGGCAACTTAAACCCAATAGTGCTTTCAAACTGCTCAAACTAGGTAGGAAAAAAGAAAAAGGATGTATTTGATGCTGTGCCTCTATTTTCAGACAGCGTACACAGGTTCATCTTCATTTCCTCCGTCTATAACATCTCATTGCAAGGGTGAACATATGCGCTCATGTATATAACCACACACATATTCTACAGACTACTGTCTGGGAAGGAAGCTGTAAGTGATAATCAATGGCAACCTTTGAGGATCGTTTTTGGGGGGAAACCCAGATAATGAGCAAGAGGTTTTTGATGGTGACAGTGATGTTTTATGCCCTATAGTAACAAAGAGATCAGTTAAGACTTGGGAGACTTCTGAGAAAAACATCATTGAAGAAGTGTTTTAACCCTGTTGTTTTAACTTCAGCAGTTTCAACAACAGGGGGAAGCCTGATAATAGCCTGGAGGGAAACAACAGTCCCCAGGGACTGATCGGGTCTCACACAGCCTTAGATTAAGGAGATTTACAATGAAAGAACTACAGTTAGTAAATCACAGTGTTTTTAGCTAATTTGTCTCCTGGGGAGGATAAGGAAAAGACAGGTAATTGAAAAGAGTCGGCTGGGGATACTAAGAGACCTTTCTAGGTTGTGCTCCAGATTTATATATTCCAGATGCAAAAGCTGTGCCAGCTACAACCGCTGTAACATGTTGATGGCTACATGCGGACAGCTGAGTAGGTGAAATAGTGTTGCTGTGATCTGGGAAAGGTAGGCAGAAGGGCACTTGTAAGGAAGCCTGGATCTCTATGGGGAGCTGACAGAGAGAAACAAGGCAGGAAACAGCAGAACAATAAAGATGATATAAGCGACACGTGGGATGGTGAATCACATTATCATCAAATGTGATTTGGAAAGAGACTGCATTGATTATTTTGCATAAGACACCATGACCTGGTCACAGGACGCTACGTACCAAGCCCAGCAGAGCTCAGCAGGACTTCAGTGGTGGAGAGCTTGAGTGCAGGCATTGGGAACATCAGTGGCTATTTCTGTTTTTTTTTTTTAAATCAAACTTAAGACTGGGAAGTTGGTTACTAAAACTCTGCTGAGAGGCAGGAGATGTAGGCTGTAGATTTTGGTTTAGGACTCTAAAAAAGGCTCAGGCCCTGGGGCCGGTGGGGGGCCCAGCAGGTTTCCCAGGTCCCTTACGAAGCCAGTACTGGAGACATTGGCTCGGGACTCCTAACTGCCATACTGCACTAAGGGAGAAATGCCAGTCCTCATCCAGGTGATTTCTGTCCTGCTATACAGCTCCACCCTCTAAAATAGATATGGGTTCTTCATCTATCACAGACCGATTATTGTACCAGCATTTGAAATAGAGACACTCCTTTGCCTCTGATGATCCTGAACTCCTCCTGGGCTTTTTGCTAAGATTTATCATTTTATTTCTGGGTTGGTGCACGCTCAGCCCATGAGGTAGGTATTTGCTATGCATCCGGCTGAGCCACGAGAGGGCACTCACTGTACGAGATTTCACATCACCTTCTCCAGAGTCAGAACATGAGCTCCTGTGGGCCAGGGAGGGCTAATGCGTGTAGCTACCAAAAATGCCGAATGATGGACGCTTGACTCCATTTTTATCAGTCTCCAGATTTCTACTCAGACTCCAAATTTACTAGTCTGATACACTTGTAAAATTTGGTATGGCCTGTCTACATCTCTTAGTGGGTAAGATGAATAGACACTAATTTAGTATACAACATGATGGTGGATGAGAAGCACTCCATGAATAAGCAGTATGTTGCTTAAATTCCCACAGTATTCATAATACGGATGAGCTTTTTACATGCAGATGGCGGTATTTATTCTTTAAGTTAATTCATGAATGTAAACAGAAAGACACCAAAGAAGATTTTACCTGTATTTTACATAAGTATTTACCTAATCTTTCCTAAGAAAATCAGCACAAATTAAAAAATATAAATGGAGAGGAATGTTAAAGGCTTGTAAAACATGACAAATCAACAAATCCATGATAACACGGGCTTTTTGAAAAGGTTCATTCACTAAAGAGTGTCAGGATGCCCTTACCTCCCCTGGTCGGATTTTGATGTAGAAGTTGTTCCTCTTGTAGGAAATTTTCAGAACCTTTGGCCAGGCAAATCTATTTATTCTGAGTCTGTCTCGATATATTAAGAGACCACTTGCACAAACTCCTAACATGATTTCCACTCCTTCAGAATCCTGGAAAAGCAAACAATGCACTTTGTTGAATATTTCTCTCCTTACATCCCACAGCACTACAGATTCTTGTATACTGTGTTTCTATCTGAGCTACATCTTTTTAATGCATCAGCTGTAGTGACCTGATTTCTGAGAGCTACCCTACTCACTGACTGCATTCATGCACGTAATAGTAAGGTTGGGCAGGGTGAGAGAAACTGAGTGGTGCAAATGTTTCCTTATATTTTAGAAAGACTCGAAAAGGAGGGGGGAAATTTTAGATGTTATTAAAAGAATGATGTTAACCATATAGCAAAATTTTATTAGCATAATAAAAAAAGAGTTATTAGCATAAATACCAGATTGAAAGTAAGTAGGACAGCATACTAATTTACTTCTCCCGGCATCATGTCCATGACTAAGCCTTGTGAATCCTTAGACAGATTTTTCTTCTGTAGTTTGCTTGTCTTGGCTTTAGTTGGTTTGCTAGTTTCTTTAACGCTGTTGTGCCTGTGCTCAGTATTTTCACTTTGAAATGACCAGTGGGCAGAAAGTTGGGCATTTAGACCAGAAAGATTCTTTTTAAAGTGTGTGACTGTGCCTGTGCTATAACCCATTTTTGACAGGGAAGCTGTAGGTCAGACACATTAGCACTACAAAAGATTTGGCCACAAATATATATACCCAGAATATACCCCAAACTATGTATTTTTTAAGAAGTATACACTTCTCTTTCCTTTAGAAGCCTTCAAATAGTCTAAACCCAATCTTCACTGTTTGCTATCACCACAAGCCTGTATAATTCTGTTTTTTTTCATTTACCTAAGTACTAATACTGCTGGAGAAAAGAAGGATTCACCTTAAAGCACAGAGTCCTTCGGTAGTTATTTTAAAATAACATGAAGTTACAAAAGTCTGACAACAGAAGCTATGAAGATGTCACCCTATGATAATCATGAAATGAATTCATCGTTTTCCTCTGGTTTTCCCGACAAGCCATTTTTTAGGCACACGGTGAAAATCTGATTACATTTTAAGATGAACACAAAGGCACGCATGGTCAGTCATGATGAAAAGGTCACGGCACAGCTTGAAATAAAAAAAAATTGTTTTAAAATCAGTGACACAACACACAGTTAGTGCCACAAAGTCCCTCGTGTGTTAGAAAACACACCAATAAAGGATGTGTGTTCCCGCAATGATGGCATCACCCCTAAAAGGTAGATTTTTTCCTAAATAAAGATCTCACATGGTATCATTGTGAGGTACTACAGAAGGGACAAAGTTAATTTTTTTCAGTGGACTTCAATTTCACAGTTTCCTAAGCAAAGAGTAATGTCTAAATACAGAGAATGCATTCTAAAAAAGAAAGTCTCATTGCCAGTAATCCCACTGCCTGGCAAATGCCTGAAATGCACGCATGCTCACATACGGCACACAGCTGCAGGTGCAAGGGGCTCCTTCTTTTGGTGTATTTTCTCAAAAACTTGTTGAGAAATGCCTTCTTCCCTCATCCCCACCTTTGCAGAAGACCTAAGTCAATTCATGGCTTCTTTTACTTGTCGGTGTCAGAGACTGCTTTTCAGTGGGGTACTACTGGCGTAAAATGAAACCCGAGTAAGAGGAGAATTTGGCTTTTTTCAGGAGTGATGCGGTTGCACAGAACAGAAAACTGTTAGCCGTAACGGCCGAGGCACGAGACGCTGAGCTGCAAATCCCTGCAACTCTGCATACGAATGGGAGGTTTTATCAGAGCGGTCACAGCCCAGAGGATAAGTCTGTCTATTTGAACACATTTTTTATCGTAGCCTTGCATTGGATAATTGAGAACTAGTTTTAACAGCAGCTGGCGAGTCCAGCATCTGTTGAATACCTAAGATACCAGGACAGCCTTATGAATTGACATTTACATAGGGACATCTGCCATGGCATGACTTCAAAAAGACATCCACAGAGATACTTGTGCCCTAGCCCAATACCATCAGATCTCACTGGCAGACCTAATTAAAACTAAACATTACTTTTCATGCAGAGTCTACTTTTTCCACTTTCAGCTCAGTTTCCAAGATTACTGTTGGGTTTCTTAACCCACAGACAGACCCAATTCAGTTACCACTGCAGCTTTTTAAATTAAGAACATCACTTTAGAGATGGATCAGCTTGTCTACCAACTTCTCTTGCTCTGAGTCTTTCCATATGAAAAACAGAAGAGTAAAACTGGAGAATGATAGGGGTTTTTTTGGGGGAAAGGTTATCTCAGGATATCCCATGTTAAATCTCACCGCCTTTCTCCAATATTCTGAAAAAAATGCTTAGGCCTTAATGCCATGCTATGTTAAATTTTCAGCAATGAAGCCTGTAACATATTTAGAACATGAACTCACTTTGCTGCTGTTTTGCACATTTCTTTGTGTTGGACAAAGGATGTCGAAAAAAAGCTATTGAGTGACATTCGCCAGTCCGTTTCTATGTCTGATCCAAATGTGCCTCAAGATTTTGTGCCTATCTGCAAGACACAGGGAAAGCAGTGGCTTGCCTCCTGGTAGAGTGCTGCCCGTTGAGCCATACCCATATTTTTCATTTTCAGTGAAGGCAAATAACAGAACACAAAAGATTGCCTTGAATTCTGTAACACACATGCACAGCTCCTACGAAATGCCCCAGGGACACGTCTGCATGCCCTTTCAAGATCCGAGCTGCAAATTTATCTTGGTTCTTGAAAGGATCTGCTGCAGCATAAAAACAGGCTTACAGTAACTTGACCTTTATAGAAAATGCAGCATTCTCCACAGCTCAGGATTCTTTGTTCAGCACTCATTTGCCAAGGATGCTTGCTAACCTCAGAGATGTTAAAATCCATTAGCCTTACTTTGAAGAGTGAAGAAAAAAATAGTAATTATTTATTAAAAAAAAAAAACAAACCCAAAAAACACAAAAAACAGACAACCAACGCAAGGCTGGTAGGTGGCTCTCCCAAGCCACAATAAGAATGACCGTGTTTTATTCATAACTGATTAGAGAAACTACTTCATCATGGGAGAATGTTTCCAGCAGAATCACTGCCCTTCCAGTCAACTGCAACAACCACACTTCAGAAGAGAGACAAGCCGCTGTCTCCCCATTACTATCAGTCAGATTAGGTTTCCAGCACGGCTAAATAATTGCGTGAAAGTTCTCTGCAGTGTTAGAAATGATCTGCTTATCTAGTTAAGATACCATAGTTGGCCTTATTAAATTGGAAAATGTAGCTGAATGAAATGACAATTGATCACTCTCTGGACAGCTTCTAATATCCTTCCTCATTACTCTGTCCATTCAATATTTTCCCAAAGGATTTGGTTGTTTAATCAACATGAAAGGTTGATGTACAACATCTTTGAATCTATAGACTAGGTTATGTTACAGTTACAAGATATATTTAGGCTTATCCCAGGAGTCACCTTTCCTCATGCTGACACATGATGCATCCCACAAAATGGCTGTCTCAAAACAACAAGAAAGAATAAATCAGGGAGTCCGTGCAGATTCAAGTACTATGTCACAGCAGAAAGATGACTGGTGAAAGAACTATAGTCCATACCTTGGCATGATGGAGATCTACTCCATACATTGATAGTTTTTTGGCATTCTCCAGGAAATGCATCTCAGCCTCCGCAGGTGTCATTCCCCTGAGGAAAAGCAACCAATTCTAGCATCAATGTTAAGGAAATGAGAGTCTGAAATAAAATCCAGCACCTAGAAAACACTTTCAGCCTGTCAGAACTACAGCTGTACCCCTTAGATGGCTGGGTACCTACCAGAGCCAAAGCTCTGGTGCAGATCCTGTTATCTTTCATGCTGCATAGCTCTTCTCTAACCAAAGACACGGAAAGGAGTCTTGTCCGAAAAATATTCTTATTAGGTATACTGTAGCAGGTTTTAACAATTCCTGATGCACCAGGACAGTACCTGAAGGCAGGCTACAGCCCACACTGATGCCCTCCGCCTACCTGTGGCTCTTGTGCAGCTCGATCACTTTATCCTCCAGCTCTTTAGTGTGATTCGGCGCGAAGCGAAATTCGCTGACGTAGTCGCTGCCATACTCGTCGGGGTCGTAGTCGCCGAGCTCCGACTGCACGGTGTAAGAGCCCAGCAGGGCTAGGGTGACGAACGAGCAGGGCAGACGACCCGACACGATGTCATCTCTCAGCTGCAAGCAGAGGTAGTACCTGCAATGGAGCACCAAGACGGCTCAGAAAAGTGCTCCTCCACCGCTGCCCCCAGCGGAGCACTGCCCAAGCACCGGCAAGAGGCCTCAGTTCCTCTACTAATTTGCAGACAACTCCCAAGCCCGAAGTTTTTCAGGCATTAACAAGGAAAATAATAATTCTGAAAAGAAAACCCTTGCCAAACATGGGTAGCAATGCCTAATTTATCTTTATAAAGCAGCATGGAGATCTCTTAATAAAATAGGTTATTACTTTGTTTAGTTACCTAGATGGAGAATTACCCATTAAACATACCAAGTTTCTATCATAAATCACTAAGGTATATAGCTACCTGATAATTCTTTTCTTTAAGGAGAAAAAATAACTAAAACCCCAAATACTGTTCATTAAAGGGTAGCTGAACTTCAAGCCGTTCAAAAAACTTAAGTTGTCACTCTAGCAAACTGTCGAGCTTTCTGAAAAATACATTTAAACAGTAAATGCTGTTAAAACCATGGTGATAAACAGTGCAAGGATCACCAGATAGAAGAAAACAGAAAATAGTGAAGAGCGTTGGCTTGGTGGTGAAGGCACCGAGTTCCCAGGGGAGATTTGAGGGCGACAAGAGGGAAAAAGCAATCCTTTCTTTTGGAAGACCTCTGTTGAAGTGTGAACTCTCGGCACACTGTCTTTCTGCGCAGTGCCTAGCACAGGGGACCTCTGATCTAAGCCAAAGGCTTCATGCTACCTTAAAAGCAAGAAGTAGTCCACAAAGCAAGGAGGGTTAAAAATCATAGAATCATAGAATAGTTTGGGTTGGAAGGGACCTCTCAAGGTCATCTAGTCTACCCTCCCTGCCGTGGGCAGGGACATCTTCAACTAGATCAGGTTGCTCAGAGCCCCGTCCAACCTCACCTTGAATGTTTCCAGGGATGGGGCACCCACCACCTCTCTGGGCAACCTGTGCCAGTGTTTCACCACCCTCAGCGTAAAAAATTTCCACAGGTTGCAAAATGTTGTAACATGCTAGGGAACAGTTTGCTGATGGCACAAAACTCGTCATGGCTCAGAAGTTTTCCTGCCTTAAACCAAGGAAGAAACCAGGTGACTTTTTTTTCCCGGTTGTGGTTGCAATCTGAATACAAAACCAGAGAGCAGAGGTGCAGACTGCAGAGCTAAGTGACTTGGAAAGCA